ATTGAATAGTGAACTGAATATTCAATATTGATATTGAATTGGCCAATTCAATATTGTGCCAGTCTGCACAGTTTGCAGAAAAGCCAGGTCCAAACTGCTTAGGGTGTTCAGATGTGCAATGTTAGTATCCTATTCACGCTCTGATTACTGATTGCATCTATTTTTACTCTGGCACCAGCAGACTTCCTTCATCTTTTCTTAAATGAACTCTGCCACCTTCCCATCCTCCTCTGCCTCCTCTGGGTCCCCACACCAGTCGCTACGCTGCCACGTAAAGCCTGTTGCTGGCACAGACAGGCCATATCCCTGCTGAGATCCACCACAGGGGCCACTTCTACATTTTGCTTGCAATAAATTAATACACATTAGATGGTCCCATTCTAACTCCTTGACTGTAATTACTTAAAAAGCTCCAAATTACTACATTGAGGGGAAGAGAGCAAAATTTCCAGGAGAACCAGACACATGGATTAGTAAACCTCCCAAAGGCCAAGAGGAAAGAAAAGCTTTATACAATTACTTGAAGTGTATCCCCTAAAGGTTCCTCAGCTGGAGTCCTTTCCACCACCAGCAGTTTGACAAATTTGTTTCATTTAAAAATATAGAGAATGCATTTAGGACCATGTTTTAGAAAATAGTCCATAACCTTGCAGTTTATATAAAACAGTTTATAGCCTCAGTCTGCCAAAGGGCAGGGGCTTTGTACAATGGGTTGAAAGTGAAAACATCTGGCTGTGCTCAGACCTGCAATTCTTTTCACATGCAAAGGTAGAAGCCACGGGGAGAGGAAGGCCAGAAGAAACACAGGGTATGTGACCAGGGCTGGAGAGATGTGGGTCAGATCCCTGTTCTGCCTTCTCTTCTCCCCATTGGTATGACTGATACAGAAGCATTTCCCTTTCTCACAATGATATTCTGAGGATAAATACACTAAAAAATGGAGGTGTCCAGCTGCTGCTTTCTATTATTAAGATAGCTCCTTCTGATTGTATGTCTAGATTTCATCTTTAAATGCTGCATGAGTCAAAAAAAAAAAAAAAAAAAAGAACGTAAAAGCTGTGTTTCTGTAAGATACAGCCTGGCTAATGTATCATTCTGAGCAACATTGCTGTGGTTCTCTGATGACCTCAGAAGAGCCCTTATATATAAAAATATTTGCTTCGGAGCAAGCACAGGGATTACTCCCAAAGAATTAGCCCTTAAATATTGAGGTCAGTGCTTTCAGAGCTAAGACCTTGGGAAAGCAGCGAGTGTAGACCATCCATGCCATGTAGGGATATTTGTGTAGGCTTTTGGCAGTAGCTACAGCCATCTGAAACACTGATAAGCCAGAACAAAACATTTTGCCTGTGTAATCATCCACATCCTGACCTCCTTGCATCTCTGCTGCCTTCCTAATATCTTACCGCAGCTGTGCCTTGCAGAAGAACATTTTCTGCAGCAGAGAGTAAGGTTACAGAGTTACCTATGGGTGGATCCTTACATATCAATTGGTGTTTCTTCATGAAGCTACCCTGAATAACCTCTGTGTTCAGTATATTTTCTTAAAATTGCAGAGGATAATGCATCTAGTGCCATCTTTCACCTCTGATTCTTATCACCGCCCAATTGGGCACAATACCTTACAGCTGGTTAAAAGAGGCTTAAAGCACCGACATAGATACCTTTCTTTTCACATATCCCAAATACATTGCAAAAAGTCATTTTTGCAAAGGTCAGAGCTGGGATTGGTATCTTCATATTTGGAGCCAAACAGGTATAAATTTGGCACTATATTGACCCACCGTGCTGACTGAAGTGGAGGGAGCTGCTGCCAGCACAGAAGTCACTGCAAGAACATCGAAAGGTCAAACTGACCCTGGCAGCTTGTAAATCTGGAAAGCCTTTCTGCATTTAACCTTAGAAAAATCATGAAGTCTGTCTTTCCTCCTTTTTAATAAGGAATAACCTGTCTTCCTTGAGCCAGAAATGTGTTCCTCTCGGAAACATACTGGGTGTGATGAACGCTGCATGAACAGGGGCTGGGGATCCCCCCCAAACTGCGGGACAGTGCTGGGTGCACAGGATTACGAGCACAGGAGCTGCAAGAAGGCACGGCCCTGTTACGGCAGGTAGCTGCTGAGTGGAGCTGTGCTCGCAGGAATAGGTTTCGTTTTGGAAACCTTTTGGTTCAGGCTTAAAGGCAAACCAACAGAAAGCTTCCTGCTTCTCAGGCAGGAAGGCAGGTTTGGTAGTAATTGTCCTTTAGGGAGGTTTGGTAGTAATAGTCCTTTAGGAAACCTGTGAAACTCAGTAACTGGACGCTGCCCATCTTCAAAGACTTGAAGAAATGGTTGATCTGCAGGAAAAAAAATCAGACATGAGAAAAAAAATGCTAACAGTTGGTATTGGGAGGTGAAGCCATGGATTGGTTGGAACCATGGGATTGGTTAGCAAATCCCCTTTGCTGGAAGTTTTTAAAAACAGAGGAAGGGGTTGGTGGGTGTAAAGGGAACTGATGGTACTTCAGTGCGGGAACAATGTCTGAGGAGCCTCCCAGCCACACATCTGTATGGCACCATTGCTGAAAGGCGATGCTGGCAGCGGTGCAGCAGAGAGGTAAGGAATTTGGAGGAGAGGCGAGATGAGACAGAGCAGGATGGCAGCCGGCAGGGTCCATGCCCTGCGCAGTCCCTCCCTGGTGCGACCGGTTTGGCAGTCGCAGAGGAATCTCAGCTATGGGACACACAGCGCGGGGGGACCTCCCTGCCCCTCCTCCTGCAGCCGCCTCCCGAAGCACAAGTGCTTACGGTTTCTATTGATTTCCCTTTTTCTGTCTTAAAGGTGGAGGTTGTTATTACCCTCGATCAAAGTTTCCTTTTCCGAGTTACTGATCTGAAGAATCATCATAAACCACACACAGTTTGGTATTAGCGTGGGATTAACTCACAGACTAAATAAAAGTTTGGTGAACTGACCTTCTCATACAACAGCAGACTGTCATTTTGTGATCTACATTTAGATTTTTTCCACATAAAACAAATCACTACACATCCCCTGTTTCACAAATTGCCATAAAAATTTTGAAACACTCTATGAATATAATTTGTTCTTGTCTCATAAATGTCTCTGAACTCCACCCTTCGCAATGAGAGTGGTTTCCCTAGTAGCTAACATATTCCAAAGTCTTTTTAAAAAAGAGGGAATCTAAAAAGATGAAAATGAGAAAAAAAAAAAAAAAGATGAATGATAAGACTGAACCTTTTGATGGACACAAGGTACACCACAGTCTGAGGTACTGTGAAGCTTTTATTGCCACTTGTTTTGTAATACTGTCCTCCCAGACTCATCCCAATAAAAGGTTTATTTCGCCTCGGACCGCGGGGGCATGGCTTGCGCCGCAGGCATGGCAGGGCATGGTTGGGACCGTCAGCTAGGCAGCCTGTGGAGCTGAGGTTCTCTGCCTTCGTGGTGGTTAAAGGAACCAGCCATGAAATGTGGCTCCAGACATGACATCCCTCAGATCTTCCTTGCAAAGGTGGCAGCGGGGACGTGTGTCAGTGCCTCGCTCTGCGAGGTGAGGGGTGGCGGCCCCTGAAACCCAGTCCAGAGAGCAGCAGAGGCTAGTCATGCCGGAAAGTCAGGCACATGTGAATCATGGGAAAAGATAAAGGAACCTTTGCCAAAGGTCTCTGAGCTGGCCGCTAAATTCAGGCAAGAAAATTCATATTTGGCACTCTACTTTTTTAAACAAATGTAGGGAACTTATAGCTCCTGTTGAAATATAGCTTATGGTAGTGGTCAGAAAAGGGGGTGTTGTATGGAAAGGATGCTGAAGGATTTGTTACAGTCTGCAATGAAAGAAATGAAAAGTGGCTGGGAAAAGCAGCAATGCACCTAGAATAATATACATGTATGAAACTGGGTTCAGCCCTGCAGAGAAGGACTTAGGGATACTGGTGAATGAAAAATTGAACATGAGCTGGCAATGTGCACTTGCAGCCCAGAAAGTCCATTGAATCCTGGGCTGCATCAAAAGAAGCATGGCCAGCAGGTCGAGGGAGGTGATTCTGCCCCTCTACTCTGCTCTGATGAGACCCCACCTGGAGTCCTGCGTCCAGCTCTGAGGTCCTCAGCACAGGAAGGACATGGACCTGTTGGAGCAGGTCCAGAGGAGGGCCACAAAAATGATCAGAGAGGTGGAACAGCTCTCCTCTGAAGAAAGGCTGAGAGAGCTGGGGTTGTTCAGCCTGGAGAAGAGCAGGTTTTGGGGAGATCTTATTGCAGCCTTTCAGTATACGAAAGGGGCATATAAGAAAGGCAGAGAAAGACTTTTTACCAAGGCCTGTAGTGATAGGACAAGGGGCAACAGTTTTAAACTGAAAGAGGGTAGGTTTAAATTATTTAAGGAGGAATTTTTAGGTTGCCTGAAGAAGCTGTGGATGCCCCATCCCTGGAAGTGTTCAAGGCCAGGTTGGATGGGGCTCTGAGCTACCTGATCTAGTGAAGGGTGTCCCTGCTCATGGCAGGGGGGTTGGACTAGATGGTTTTTGAAGGTCCCTTCCAATCCAAACCACTCTGTGATGATTCTAAACAATATGTTTGCAGGGCTGGTGCAGTGGAGGGACTTAGATCACCACCTGAAGAAGCTGGAAGAGTGCAGAGTGTCGCACATGACAGTTGTGGTCCTTGAGGTCATCCATCTGCGCCTTCCACAGTCCCACAGGCTTGAACAAACTGAGTATCAAGGGGGATTGAAATGCTACCAAACCAGAATGGCAGCGAGGTAGTCTGTAAGAAGAGCTGATACCTTTTATTGGATCAATGAAATAGTGGCAGAAAATGTAACAGTTAAAAAAAAAAACAAAGACAAGTCTTCAGGTATGAAAGCCCCTCATGAGGCCTGCAAAAGGAGCTAAAGAGGGAATTGCCATGGTAGCACTTTGACATCTGCGTTGCAAAAGGGATGGAGAATTAGGCCCATTGCCAGAGGAGGGGGGAGAAAGGACATTTAAATCCAGTCACCGTAATGGGTACAGGTTAAAAAACATGTCGTTGTTGCAGTAGTTGAGACCCATACGTCGCCCTCCCTCGCCCCCGTCTCCTTCGCTCCCCCTCAGAGGCGCCGAGAGCTGGTGGTGGTGGTGTGCCCCGCTTGCCGTGGGGCAGGGGCCTTCCTGAGGCGCAGGGTAGGGCGGTGGAGGGAGGCAGCTGCTGCTGTAGGCCTGTGGGGATTTCTCCTCGCAGGACTCATCCCCCAAAAGGCAAGCTTTAGGCCTGAAGGGGTCATGGCCGCCCTTTGTCACTGGCAGGACGTGCTGGGTGCTGCGGTGCTGGGGGGAAGGGGCTGCGCAGGGCAGGTTGGCCGTGGGGACAGCAGGGCCGCTGCAAGGCCTCCCGGCGCTGGGGGTCCTCCCAAGGGCCGGGCTCCTGCTCCAGGTCAGTGCCTCTCCGGAGCCCCCGTCCTCCCCAGCTGCCCTTGGGTATGGCGGCTGCCCAGGGCAGCTGCCCAGTGTTGGCTCCCGGGAACTTTTGCTTAAATGTCCCCTGAAATTAGCAGGTAGCATGTAAGCGTCCGGCTTGGAAAGAAGCAAAGGCAAAGCCTCCCGCGTCGGCATTGCACCTGTCAGAGACTTGGGAAAGCAAGGCGTGGTTTAGTAAAACAAGGTGTAGTCTAGCAGCATGAAATAAAAACCATCCTGGATGAGATCCTCACAAATGCATTCAATTAATACAGGTAACAAAGCAGACGCCGTAGCAGAGCCTCCTTGTAGGGTAGTGCCAGTGGGCTTTAGGGGCAAACCAAACGGGGGTCCCAGATAACACGTCTGGGTTTGTTTCACCAGTTTTTGCCCAAAGCCTGTTTTACACTAAAAGAATTGTTAAACCTCGCATTCACAGCCCTGTGGTCTGCTGCCAACATATACTGAAGAAGCACCTCAAAATGAAATTATGCTAATATATTTGACACCACAGAATTTATTTTTTTTCTATGGAGTTTGGAAAAGCTAAGTATGATTTTTTTAAAACTGATTGTTTTGAAGTGATCTTTTCACTACAATAATATTATGTTTCAGCTTTTCAAGACTCTACTTCTATTTCTAACTGATAAATTTTCCTATCTTTACATTTTTTTACCCCACAAATAGAAATTTCATTCAGGGAGGGAGCAGCACACAAGAATTATTCTTCTGGGTCTTTTGTTCTGGATATTTCACAACTTCTTTAATTGCCCTAATTATTGGATTATAATTCCTTTCAGAACACTCATTCTGTGCTATCATTTCTGATGAGTACTTACAGGTCTCTCTTTGTAATTCTGCTTTTGCATCCATTTAATTATAGTGATTTTGCTGACTGCCAGAGTAGCAAAGCTCCTTTCAGCTGTTCTCCACTCACCATGAGAAGAAATTCCAACAACCTGATGTAGGACCCAGCCCACCTTCAGCCAAAGACCCGCTGATGCCTTAGAGAAAATGTTCTGTGTATCACTTGCTCTATTTTGGGCTCATACATTTTTCTAAAGTTCTCCTCCCTGGTCTCTTGTGAGCACATTAAAATCTAATCTTTTCGGAAGACTTTTTTCAGACTCAGTGACACAGGTTCTGCATGTCAAATCAGACTCCTCAGTTAGCTTTATCACAGCCATTCTTGGCAGAACACGAATATGATGGGTTATTCCCAAGAAAAACCTGCCAGAGAGCTATGAACTGGAAAGCCAGCTGAAGGTAAATGATATCACTCTGACTGCACAAAGTCAGACCAGATGAAGAGCAGGCTCTACAATTAGATATTTATGATATCTTTGGTCTGTTCCTAGCCCCACACAATTCAAAGTGAAAACACCAGGAAGATGCTGTAGGCAGAGAAGGACGAAGACACGTCTAAAGGGAACTTGACCTCAGTAAGACCAGTAGGCTCAGGTATAAAAGAAAAAAAAGCCACATGGCTCAGTAATATTTCCTAAGTGAGGACTATTATAGTGTTCATGGGGACAGAATTAAACCAGTGATACGAAAATCATTGTTGCTGTATTTGTTAGAGATTTACACAGTGGCTCAGCTGCTTTTTCTTATGCTCGTGTGCCCAGGCACTTGTGTCAAGAGGCCACCACCAGTCCGTCCTGTACTCTCTGACTGTCCTATCTCAAGTCAGTGTGTATCCATGAGAGTCACCCCTGAGCTCTGGCTCAGGAGTGTCCTCCTGAGTATTTTCAGTAGATATAGCTGCAGCTCATACATTCATATTCCATACAAATGGATTTAACTTCCTCTGTTCACTCTTTTAATATACTTCTTGGGCTCTTGAATCCCCCCGCTTCCCATGCCATCCATTTAAGAAGCCCATCTCCACCCAGCCCAATTATCCCTTTTGTCTGTAGCTGAAGGGGCACTGATTTCTATCCTGAACACCAGGCTGGGGAGGATGCACCACCTCTAGCACATCAAAAGACAAACTGTGTGTGAAGACCAGTGGCGTACAGTTGCATTTAACACAGCCTTTGCAAGGAAGGTCACTGCAGACAGCCTCACTCCTCTACCCGGTTCCCTCCATCAGGCAGGTGGCAGTCCATGGGGTCTCTGTAAATGCTTTCACAAGTGTTTCCACACCCAGCAGAGCTGATGTTTTAACACCAGTGCTTCTGTAAGTCCTTCAAAGCACTCTTCTGCCTTCAAAGCCCTCCTGGAAACCCAGGGAGCAAGGGGGTCACACCAGACAGAGGTGATGCACCTTCCCCTTATCAACCCTGGCAAACCCTGGCAGGGGACGAGCAGAGGTGGACGGTGCCTTCACTTTTCTGCGGCACCTCCTCCATGTCAGTGGAGGACCTCAGGACGCACGTCAATGTGGAGAAAACACGACTCTGTCTTGGCTGTCTCTCCAAGTGTGGGGCAGTGTATCCTGCACCTGAGGGTGCCCTCACAGCCCTTAAGGGTCTGCAGGTGGCCAAATCCTGCTCAGGGGCAGCTGCCCTGCAGGAGAGCATCTCTCTCCCTGATGGGCATTAAGTCTGTGAATAAAATAATCCAGGCCTGCTACTGAAGTAACTGGGTTTTCTTAAGTAAAGGTTGGGGGACTGGAGGAAGAAGGAGTAAGGATTTCTGGATTTGCCTTGTTAATGACAAGTTTGTTTTGTCAAGATACCATACACAGTATGTAATACACATATCATATAGGTAATATATATTGTATTCTATAGTAAAATAATATACAGCGTGTGTATGTGTACACACATACACGAATCTTCCTCCTGAGTTCAGTTATTGCCAAAAGTATTTCCCAGTTTTCAAGTGTTCATTTGTTACAATTTTCTCATGGGGTGGTGCAATCAATACTGTAAGTTAAATCCAATTAAAACTTTATAATATTCTCCTTCAGTGTCAATACTGATTAGACTAAATATCTAATTACTTTATTCCCAGATTTCTTTGTAAATGATTTAACTTTTGGAGGAGCACTAACAAAGAACCTGTAGGAAATTTTTCTAAAGGCAACTCTTGCATTTAAAAA